GGGGAGAGGGAGGGGGACAGGAGGGGACAGGGATGGGGACAGGAGGGGACACAGGGGACAGGGACGGGGACAGGGATGGGGATGGGGACAGGGATGGGACAGGGGAGGGGACACAGGGGACAAGGAGGGAGACAGGGATGGGGATGGGACAGGGGACAGGGACAGGAGGGGACAGAGATGGGATGGGGACAGGGGACAAGGACAGGCACAAAATGGGACAGGGACAAGGACAGGCACAAAATGGGACAGGGACAAGGATGGGATGGGGACAAGGGACAGGGACAGGGACAATAGGGGACAGGGATAGGACAGGGATGGGACAGGGATGGGACAGGGATGGGACTCCCCTGTCCCCATCCTTGTCCCCTGTGTCCCCATCCCTGTCCCCATCTCTGTCCCCGGTGTCTCCTCATCCCCATTCCTGTCCCCTTTGTCCCCTCCCCTGTCCCCATCCTTGAACCCTCCTCTGTCCCCATCCATGTCCCCTGTGTCCCCTCCCATGTCCTCTCCCCTGTCCTCATCCTTGTGCCCCGTGTCCCCTCCCCTGTCCCCTGTGTCCCCTCCTGTCCCCTGTGTCCCCTCCTGTCCCCTCCCCTGTCCCCTGTGTCCCCTCCCCTGTCCCCCGTGTCCCCTCCTGTCCCCTCCCCTATCACGCCACTCCCTCTCTCAATTCACTCAATTTTATTCCGTTTCCTCCCATTATTTTTTCTCCTTTTTCCTTTTTTTTCCCTTATTTTCCTTTGTTTTTTTTAAATTTGATTTTTCGGGATTCCTTTTCCAAACCCCAATTCCCGACCCCTCCCCCCCCCCCAAAAAAAAAATCCCCCCAAAAAATCCCAAATGTTGGGGGGAATTGGGGGAAACTGGGAATGGGAAACAAACTGGGAATGGGAAATTGGGAATTGGGGGAAACTGGGAATGGGGAAGGCGTAAAAAAACGGGGCCAAACCCCAAAATAAAACAACAAAACGAGGTGAAAACGGAGCGAGAATGGGATTTTGTGGGATTTTGTTGGGATTTTGTGGGATTTTGTTGGGATTTTGTTGGGATTTTGTTGGGATTTTGTGGGATTTTGTGGGATTTTGTGGGATTTTGTGGGATTTTGTTGGGATTTTGTGGGATTTTGTTGGGATTTTGTGGGATTTTGTGGGATTTTGTTGGGATTTTGTTGGGATTTTGTGGGATTTTGTGGGATTTTGTTGGGATTTTGTGGGATTTTGTTGGGATTTTGTGGGATTTTGGGAGAAATATTGTGGAATTCTGTGGGATTTTGAGGGATTTTGCGGGATTTGGAGGGTTTTAAGGAGAAATATTGTGGGATTTTGAGGGATTTTGCGGGATTTGGAGGGTTTTAAGGAGAAATATTGTGGGATTTTGAGGGATTTTGTGGGATTTGGAGGGTTTTAAGGAGAAATATTGTGGGATTTTGAGGGATTTTGTGGGATTTGGAGGATTTTTTAGGAAGTTTTGTGCTCCCGCCTTCACTTTTATGGGCGGGCGCTGCCGTGACCGGGAATTCGTTGGGAATTCAGAATAAACTTTATAAAATTATCAATTTTTTGTACAATTTGGTGACATTTTGAGCCATTTTGAGCTGTTTTAGGAGGTTTTGCGCTCCCACCTTCCCTTTTTTCGGGCGGGCGCTCTCTGTCCCCGGCGCTGCCGTGACCGGGGATGGAATCTGTTGTTATTTTAGAATAAACTTCATAAAATTTTGAATTTTTTTTAATAGAATTTGGTGACATTTTGACCGTTTTTACGGCATTTAGAGAATTTTTTCTGTGGAATATCGTGCGTTTTGGAGCGATTTTGAGCTGGTTTAGGAGGTTTTTTGCTCCTGCCTTCCCTTTTGTGGGCGGGCGCTGCCGTGACCGGGGATGGAATTTGGTGGGAATTCAGAATAAACTTTATAAAATTTTCAATTTTTTTGTACAATTTGGTGACATTTGGTGACATTTTGACCATTTTTTTGTCATTTAGAAGATTCTTTCTGCAGAATATCGTGGGATTTGGAGCGATTTTGATCTGTTTTAGGCAGTTTTGAGCAGTAGGAGCCGCTCCTGCCTTCCCTTTTTGCGGGCTCTCTGTCCCCGGCGCTGCCGTGACCGGGAATTCGTTGGGAATTCAGAATAAACTTTATAAAATTAGCAATTTTTTGTACAATTTGGTGACATTTTGAGCCATTTTGAGCTGTTTTAGGAGGTTTTGCGCTCCCACCTTCCCTTTTTTCGGGCGGGCGCTCTCTGTCCCCGGCGCTGCCGTGACCGGGGATGGAATCTGTTGTTATTTTAGAATAAACTTCATAAAATTTTGAAATTTTTTTAATAGAATTTGGTGACATTTTGACCGTTTTTACGGCATTTAGAGAATTTTTTCTGTGGAATATCGTGCGTTTTGGAGCGATTTTGAGCTGTTTTAGGAGGTTTTTTGCTCCTGCCTTCCCTTTTGTGGGCGGGCGCTGCCGTGACCGGGGATGGAATTTGGTGGGAATTCAGAATAAACTTTATAAAATTTTCAATTTTTTTGTACAATTTGGTGACATTTGGTGACATTTTGACCATTTTTTTGTCATTTAGAAGATTCTTTCTGTGGAATATCGTGCGATTTGGAGCGATTTTGAGCTGTTTTAGGAGGTTTTGCGCTCCCACCTTCCCTTTTTTCGGGCGGGCGCTCTCTGTCCCCGGCGCTGCCGTGACCGGGAATGGAATTTGTTGTTATTTTAGAATAAACTTCATAAAATTTTGAATTTTTTTATAGAATCTGGTGACATTTTGACCATTTTTTTGTCATTTAGAAGATTCTTTCTGTGGAATATCGTGCGATTTGGAGCGATTTTGAGCTGTTTTAGGAGGTTTTGCGCTCCCGCCTTCCCTTTTTGCGGGCGGGCTCCGCCGTGACCGGCAATTCGTTGTTATTTTAGAATAAACCTCATAAAATTTTGAATTTTTTTTTTATAGAATTTGGTGACATTTTGACCGTTTTTACGGCATTTAGAGAATTCTTTCTGCGGAATATCGTGCGATTTGGAGCGATTTTGATCTGTTTTATGCGGTTTTGAGCAGCAGCAGCCGCTCCTTCCATCACTTTCCGTTGCTCTCTGTGTGTGTGTGTGTGTCGCTGTCGCTGTCGCTGTCGCCGTGGCGGTGTCGCAGGCGGGGACAGGTGACCCTGCGGCGGTGTCACAGGCCGGGACAGGTGACCTGGTGGCGGATGCCCTCGTTGCAGAGCAGCGCTGCCGCTCTCTCGTCGCTGTCGCCGTGCTGGCACTGCTGGCACTGCATGTAGCTGATGCCGTGAGGGGAGTACGAGTGGTGGCCGCAGGTGGCACAGCCCCGGGGCATGGTGCCACCCGTGCTGCTCCTGCGGGGACAAGCGGGGACAAGCGGGGACAAGCGCTACCCGTTCTGTCACGCGGGCTCGGAGTGAGCGGTGGCACCCGGCGACACGCCACGGGGGTTTTGTCGCCCGTCTCGGTGCTGCTGGTGGCGCTCGTTGGTAGCTCTTGGTGGCAGTGTCACACAGTGTCACCCACCCGTGACTGGTGGCACCTCTTGGTGTCCTCCAGTGTCACCCATTGTCACCCAGTGTCACCCACCCGTGACTGCTGGCACCTCTTGGTGTCCTTCAGTGTCACCCAGTGCCACCCATTGTCACCCAGTGTCACCCACCCGTGACTGCTGGCACCTCTTGGTGTCCTTCAGTGTCGCCCAGTGTCACCCATTGTCACCCAGTGTCACCCACCCGTGACTGCTGGCACCTCTTGGTGTCCTTCAGTGTCGCCCAGTGTCACCCATTGTCACCCAGTGTCACCCACCCGTGACTGCTGGCACCTCTTGGTGTCCTTCAGTGTCACCCAGTGTCACCCAGTGTCACCCACCCGTGACTGCTGGCACCTCTTGGTGTCCTTCAGTGTCACCCAGTGTCACCCAGTGTCACCCAGTGTCACCTACCCGTGACTGCTGGCACCTCTTGGTGTCCCCCAGTGTCACCCAGTGCCAGCCAGTGTAACCCCAGTGCTACCCAGTGTCACCCATTGTCACCCAGTGTCACCTACCCGTGCCTGGTGGCATCTTTTGGTGTCCCTCAGTGTCACCTTTTGTCACTCACCTGTGTCTGGTGGCACCTCTTGGTGTCCCTCAGTATCCCCCTGTGTCACCCCCGTGTCCCTCAGTGTCCTCCAGTGTCACCCAGTGTCACCCAGTGTAACCCCAGTGCCACCCAGTGTCACCCACCCGTGACTGCTGGCACCTCTTGGTGTCCTCCAGTGTCACCCAGTGTCACCCAGTGTCACCTACCCGTGCCTGGTGGCATCTCTAGGTGTCCTTCAGTGTCACCCAGTGTAACCCCAGTGTCCCTCAGTGTCACCCAGTGCTACCCAGTGCCAGCCAGTGTCACCTACCCGTGCCTGGTGGCACCTCTCAGTGTCCTTCAGTGTCACCCAGTGTCACCCACCCATGACTGCTGGCACCTCTTGGTGTCCCTCAGTGTCACTGATTGTCACCCAGTGCCACCCATCCCCTGCCTGGTGGCACCCATTGGTACCTCTTGGTGTCCTGCAGTGTCACCCCAGTGTCACCCAGTGTCACCCCAGCATCACCAATGTCACCCAGTGTCACCCAGTGGTGCCTGTTCGTCCCCAGCTGTGCCCAGTGGTGACACTGGACCGCAGTGGTGACCCTCAGTGCCCAGTGGCACCCAAAGGTGCCCAGTCCGGCCCAGTACAGCCCAGTGCAGCCCAGTCCGGCCCAGTCCAGCCCAGTGCAGCCCAGTCCAGCCCAGTGCCACCCTGCTGTCCCCGCTGTCCCCACCTGCAGTCACTGCAGCCCCTCTGTCACTCCTGGCACTGCGGGCGGGCGATCAGAGCCCAGTGCCGCTCTCTGCTGCCCAGTCCATCCCAGTCCATCCCAGTACAGCCCAGTCCAGCCCAGTCCATCCCAGTCCATCCCAGTCCATCCCAGTCCATCCCAGACCAGCCCAGTCCATCCCAGACCAGCCCAGTACATCCCAGTCCATCCCAGTCCAGCCCAGTCCATTCCCAGTCCATCCCGGTCCATCCCGGTCCATCCTGGTCCATCCCAGTCCATCCCAGTCCCTCCCAGTCCCTCCCAGTCCATCCCAGTCCAGCCCCGGTGCCCACCTGCAGTCGCTGCAGGCCCGCTGGCACTCCTTGCGCTGGTAGCGGGCGATCAGAGCCCAGATGAGCAGCCCCAGGAGGCTGAGGAGGAGGAGGGAGCCCAGGATGGAGCCCACGATGATGCCGGCCTGGCGCCCGCCTGCCGCGGGGACACACCCTGTCACCCCGGCCTCCGCCGGCTGCCCGCGGCTCCGGGGACACCCCAGCGACACCGCGGTGCCAGCCTGGGACAGTCCCCGTGCCACCCCGGAACCCAGGGACAGCCCCGGTGCCACCCCCGAACCCAGGGACAGCCCCGGTGTCACCCCGGAACCGAGGGACAGCCCCGGTGCCACCCCGGAACCGAGGGACAGCCCCGGTGCCACCCCGGAACCCAGGGACAGCCCCGGTGTCACCCCGGAACCGAGGGACAGCCCCGGTGCCACCCCGGAACCGAGGGACAGCCCCGGTGCCACCCCGGAACCCAGGGACAGCCCCGGTGCCACCCCGGAACCGAGGGACAGCCCCGGTGCCACCCAGGGACAGCCCCGGTGCCACCCAGGGACAGCCCCGGTGCCACCCTGGAGCTCAGGGACAACCCGGTGCCACTCAGAGCCACCTCCAGTGCCACCCTAGAACCACTGGGTTGGTGCCACCCCAGAGCCAGCCGGGCACCTGAGACATCCCAGTGCCACCTTGTGTCACCCTCTGTGTCCCCAGTGTCACTCACGGGTGCCGGGGCTCAGGTTGAGCTGGCACACCGAGTACCCCCCGTGTCCCCAGTGTCCCCCCCCGTGTCCCCAGTGTCCCCAGTGTCACTCACGGGTGCCGGGGCTCAGGTTGAGCTGGCACACCGAGTACCCCACGCGGTTGGTGACACGGCACTGGTAGGTGCCAGCGTGGGCCCCGGTCAGGCTGCGGATCAGGAGGTCACCGGGAGCACGGCCTGAGGGGGACAGGTGGCATTGTCACCTCGGTGTCACCTGCCACCCCTGAGAGGGGGTGTGGGGACACGGGGACACACAGGGACATGGGGACAGGGAAATGTGGGGACACAGGGACACACAGGGACATGGGGACACAGGGATATGGGTGCTCAGGAACACAGAAGGACACACGGGGACATGGGGACACACAAGGACACAGGGACAGGGAAATGTGGGGACACAGGGACATGGGGACACACAGGGACACAGGGATGTGGGGACATGGAGACATGGGGACATGGGGACGTGGTTGCTCAGGGACACGGACACACAGGGACATGGACACAGGGGGACATGGACACATGGACACACGGACATGGGGACATGGACATGTGGGGACACGGGTGACAGGGACACGGACACAGAGACACATGGACACACGGACATGGACATGGACATATGGACGTGGACACACGGACATGGACATGGATATATGGACATGGACACGGACATATGGACATGGACACACGGACATGGACATGGACATATGGACGTGGACACATGGACACAGGGACATGGACACAGGGACACGTGGACACACGGACACGGACACAGAGACACATGGACACACAGGGACACGGACACACGGACACGGGGACACGGACACATGGACATGGACTCATGGACACAGGGACACAGACACACGGATATGGACACACGGACACATGGACACACAGACACATGGATATGGACACATGGATATGGACACATGGACACATGGACACACGGACACATGGACACATGGACACATGGACACATGGACACATGGACACATGGTCACAGAGACACATGGACACACATGGACACACGGACACATGGATATGGACACATGGACACATGGACACACGGACACACATGGATATGGACACATGGACACAGGGACACAGACACACGGATATGGACACACGGACACATGGACACACAGACACATGGATATGGACACATGGACACACGGACACATGGACGCATGGACACACATGGACACATGGACACACATGGACACACGGACACATCGATATGGACACATGGACACATGGACACATGGACACATGGACACATGGACACACGGACACCTGCATATCGACACATGAACACATGCAAAC